GAGGAACATTGAGGCAGGAGGACCCAGGTGCTTGGCCAGAGTGAGCAGAACCTTCTGGTGGAGCACTAGCAGAGGACTTGTTTATTTAATAGAACTCACCTTCTAATACCAGTTCAGAAACCCTGACACATACCCAGGGTGACCTTTGTAGTTGAAAATGTATGTGTCAGGCCAGGGAGATAGCTTGGTGGTCTAGGTGCCTGCCTGGCAAGCACAAGGACCCAGGTTCAATCCCCGATACCACGTGCCATGCAGACCACATGCTATGGGGCCACCAAAACTGGGCATGGTGGCACACTTCTATAATCCCAGTGCTGGGGAGGGCGAGGCAAGAGGATGGCAACTTGGAGGTGAGATTGTCAGGATTTTTCAAAGACCTGGGAATGTAGCTCAGTGGAAGGCCCTGGGTTTAATCTCTAGTACTATTAAAAAGAAAATAAAACAAGTTTTCTCATTAGATTTTGGGTTCTGGACAGCTGGACGTTTAAGAAGTTCTACCACGGGCTGGGGAAAATTCAGTGAAATAAGCACTTCCCTGGCAAGTGCAAGGGCCTGAGTTCAATCCCTGGTTCCGCCAAAAGAAGTTCTACTAGCACTGTTTATAAGTGGTCCCTAGCTGGTGTGGCACACACCCGTAAGCTGAGCACTAGGGACACTGTCTTAAAAAGTGCTTTAGGGGCTGGGGAAATAGCTCAGTGGGATAAGTGCTTCCTTGGCAAGCACAAGGGCCTGTACCCTAAAAAATGAATAAACCTCATTCTGTGCCCCTCCCAGGCTAGGGGTTGGGGGGAATTAAGACAGGAGACCAGCCTGTGTAAGGATGAGCACAGAGGCGACAGTGACCAAGGAGTCCTCAGGCCAGGTATCTGGTGGAGGAGCTGCTATGCCTGGGGGTAGGGGGAGGCAGGTATAGACCCAGCGTCCTGCCAGGATGCGTGTTCACGCTTAGAGCAGGAAGGCCGGGTGGGGGGCTGTTTAAGGGAGTCTGATTCATTTCCAGTTGTAGTAGTTTCTGAGATTTGACATTCCGTTACTGAAGAGCAGCTTCCTTTTTGTTTT